CAAGGATAATTGTTGATTTGGTCTTCGAAATGATTCATTCTTGTGACTTGAGCATTTAACATCGATTGGGTGTTCTTAACATCTGCAGTATTCTTGTGGAGTTGTGTGTTTATCATTTCCAACTTATCGACTCGTGCCATTTGCTCGTTTAAGATCAATGCAGTGCGAAAAAACTGGCCCAAACATAATAACAGCATCACTGTTGAAATCAAGATGGTAGACTTTGTTGGTGAGCACATATGAGCAACTTTGTCTTCCATTTTGAAGGCGAAAGACTAAAATGGCAGCAAGCTATGATCCCAACAACTGAATGTGATATGAAATGCAAAGTGCAAATTGTGCTTACAATTTTGTTTTGTCTTCATAAACGTCACATCTATACAGTATGGACATCCTGTATGGTTGATTCACTAATCAGGTTTATGACGGTAAAACAGATGGTGTAGCTACAAGGCGTTGATCGAAAAAAGTGACGATATATATACTCCATCGTATCTTTTTTAGCAGCTTCCTTCTTCTGACAGGTCTGTTGTGACCCTCAATACTGCAGTTTCGAGATCTTATTTGTGCAGCCTTAACCTCGAAAGCATGTAATACATTATTTTATTCAGCACAGATCATATTTTAATGCAAACACTATGTCTACAAAGAAGACAATAAAAATTTATGCCTTATTGAAGCTAAGCTTGCACAAAAGAAAATTCGAAACTGGAGTATTTCTGTACTCAGAAGTTACTGGCAATTTTTTTTTCTTCTAATTTTTTTTTGAAAGAAATATTTTCAGGGAGATATTGTTTTTGAATAAAGTAAAAATTATTTGAATTGATGTCAAAAGACCAATTTGTAGATARTTATGACAGGGTGTAAATTGAGTTAGCTGTCGACTCCTATTTGTCTAATTACTCGGGGCTACRAAGGAATCCCGAGTTTAAATTTCGGCTGTCTTTTTCGTCGTCGCTTATCAGTCACAAATTGCCAATTCTTCGACTACAATATTCAAACTGTTGTCACTTCATCGGTCCGTTTACAATCAAGCAGAACTCCGAGTTCACGCTATGCGTCTAGTTCTAATTATTCTCAGATGTATTTTTTATTTTTTATCATATAGTATAATTATCTATGAAATGGCTATTTTTCTGTCTTTCAAAAATAATTTTCACTKGTAAAAATAACGCATGCGTGATTTCTCTATATATTGGAAGTAAATAAAGRAAAGTTATAATTTTTGAAGGCAAGGACTGAAATGTCAGCAAGCAAGCTATGATCCCAACAACTGAATGTGATATGAAATACAAAATGCAAATTGTGCTGACAATTTATCCAGTATGGACATCCTGTACGGTTGGTTCGCTAATCAGGTTTATGACGGGAAAACAGATGGTTTAGCTAGGTGCGTTGGTTAATCTAAAAAGGGAATATACTTCATCGTGTCTTTTTTTAGCAGTTTCTTTCTTTTAACAGGCCTCTTCTGACTCGTACTGGCCAATTATTTTCTCCTTTAGAGAGAAACTGTTTCAGCGAAATTGATATTTTTTTTAATACAAAATAAATTATTTGAATTAAAGTCAAAAGACAAGTTTGTTGAAAAGTGAGACAGGGTGTAAATTGAGTTAACTATTAACTCCTAGTATGCTGTCTTTCTTAGATGTGTTTTATATTTTTTTACCATGTTGTAAATTATGTAAGAAATGGCTCCTTTCTATTTTTTTAAAAAACTCTTTTTACTTGTGAAAATAACGCATTCGTGGTCTCTATATATTGGAAGTAAATAAAAAGTTATTTTACGACATAATAAGCTTTCATAGATTATTGTATAATAAAAATGCAGAATATTACTTGGTCGCTTGTAGATACGGATTTTATATGATGATGAAGTTTTAATATTTGACTTTTGTGTCTGGTATACGTTCTCTGTCAACTGTGAGTTCCTGCGGTTTTTAATCCCTACGTCTTATAACACCCCAAAACCATATCAAAGAATTGCCCCACAAAAGTTATCCTTCGTTTAGCAGCCATATATGGTAATCTTACCTTATTTGGAAGTTCGATAGGAATGGTTTTTGTCGATTTTCTCGACTTTTAAAGCTTGAAATCGTCGGAAACTTGCAGATATTATAGCGAAAACACTTCTAAACAATCCGCCATTTTGTTTGTTTCCATATATGGCATGGATTCGCTAAAGGAAGCCCGAAACTAAAAAGCACAGGGAACCCGCACGAATGATATACAATCCATTCTTTGATCCACAACCTAGTGTCTATTTCCAATCTCGTACCCAGGGCTTTCTCTTCCTTGCTATTTAAATGGGCCATTTTGTAAATAGCGAGGAAGAGAAAGCCCTGGATACGAGGTTGGTCTATTTCAGCAGGAGATCCCGTACAAAAAAAAGCCCTCTCCGGGTCCTAATGAATAATGACTAGATCTACCAGAGATACAACTAAAGCCCTATACTCTATTCGTTGTGTAAAGCGCTAACCCAATTCTTACATTTTCAGATGGGATATAAGAAATTTCCAGAATGAATGAATTTGGGATTTTCTTTTTTTCTTGAAATAGCTGTGATAAACTGCACGCTTTTGTTAGAAAGATTGTGAACTTATATTCATAATCGGCTTTTACACAATATCAGAGACAAACAGTATAAAGAAACATTTTGAAATCTACTAGAGCTTTAGGAAGCGCGTTTGACTGTCATTAAGGTAATCACATTTCGTGTTTCAAAACATGGTATGACATTAATCACTATAGTCGGAAACTCGGGAAGAAAGTTTGGAAAACACAAGATTATGRAACTACAACAAAGGAAGCAAACATACAACGAAAAAAAGTAGGAAAAAAAAACATAACTGATCAAACAAGGTCATTTAGACGTGTGATTTTGAAAATGAAAAGCACGGCTCCATGACAACTSAYATCATCACCACACGACAGTGACACGAGTGCTTCAATTAGCGCCCTCGATATCGATTGTTCGCTTCTCAAGCTACWSTCAAGTATACGAGTACTATTAAAAAGAGYTCCTGTCGAGAATTGATYTAGAGCGTAATTAGTAGTCGGTATTTGTTTCATTTCTGAGAATCTGACAAAACACCGCTCCAGGGGTCSTTGGGTATGTTAGTAGACCTTTGTACCAAGTGCATTTCTATTCACGTTGGCATCTTTGACCAAACTGTGGGAAGTTCAGAGGTAAGTGTTGCACAATTTTTTAAAGTATTTTTACTCTAGTTTGTCTGTGCTGCAAAACACAGAATGACGACGAGACATCTTTAGTCGCACTGGACTTAAACAACTGTGATTACACTTCTGATCATTTGACTCGATATTAGACATTTCCCATGTTCTTTTGGTTATATTGATACTGCCAATAAAATAATTTACCGAAGTAATTCAAAGAGGACCCCTGAATTCTTCAATTTGAAAATATGTCATATTTCATTAAAAGAAGGTGYTTTAAAACATCTATAGAATTTGWGTTTTAAGATTTCAGCAACAAATTGATAAACACTTATAWTTTTTTTTGCWTTTCCAACAGAGATTGAAAACTGGGCGGACGCCGGAGAAATCTCTCCTACAAAGGCTTCCGGATTTCTGAGTTCTTATCTTTTATGAATTGAATCCGAATGAACGGAAAGCACTCGAACTGATTTGCTTGCGGAAGACCTCTGAGTTAAAGYGAGAAAAAAATAAGCTAGTTTTTCCAAAGACTAGACTTCATTACTGACGACGAGTTAATTAAGAGCAAAACTGTTCAAATTAGCCTGCAGACTCCAAGTAGAAAGYTCACTTCTAACAAGCGATACTAAAAAGGGAAAACTAAATTGAGAACCGCATAAGTACGATTTGTTTGTGAGGGTGAATGATTTCACAGCCAACGCAAAGAGATCTGAGTTTCCTGTGCAAGATCTATTATGGCAAACCCAATCATCAGCTTCGAGATGAAGGTCTTCTGGTCGGTAATCTTGGTTATCGAATCTGTCTTGATAATCACCGGGAACATCATGGCAATAATAGTTTTTCTYAAGAAGAATTTCGCTGTGGCAAGGTCATCATACATGCTCGTCAACCTCACTATTGCCGATGTCCTCGTTGGAGTAGCCGTGTTTCTGACCTTTCTGGAATTGACTTTCTCCAGTCAATACATGTTCTCAGCGTGCATCGGAGAAACCGTCAATCGAGTTGCTCAAAGCGTGTCTCTTTTTACCATGTTCGCATCCTTGGTCTCGATGGCACTAACCGCGTTGGAGAGAATGCTGGCCATTCTATGGCCTTTTCGTTTTCGTAAAATACATGGCCTGCACTATGCTGTTGCTGTCGCTGTCTCTTGGTGCTTATCAATCCCCCTCGTGTTCCAGCGTCTCGTCAATGACTGTTCCGATATGAAAGCAAGAATAGTAACAAATCGTTTAGTGTTAATCCTTCAAGCAATGGCCATCATTATAATCATATTGTCATATGCCGCGATATTTGTCAAAGTGAGGTTTTTCCCGGAATTTCAGTCTTCTTCATCGATGAAAAAGAACATCAGACTTGCTAAAACGTTGATGATGACGGCTGCCATCGCCATTCTCACATGGATGCCAAGATTTGCTGGAAAAATCTTCAAGGTAGTCAGTTCCAGTTTACGAGATATCGATGTGTATCTCACACTGTTGGTAATAATTTACAGTAATTCCTTCTTGAATCTCTTGGTCTACGCTTGGCGCATCCCAAACTTCAGTAAAGAGATAAAGAAGCTTTTAAAATGTGGATGCATATCCAGCAATGACGTGGTGCCCGTCACGTCTTCCCTGTCAACCCAGTCTGGTCAACCTACCTCCCAAAAAGAAACTCCTGAGAGCGATTGTACCGGAAAGGATTTACCGGCTAAAACTGGTTCCACTGCAGGGTCCTCAGAAAATAATAAAATGCCAAAACTGGAAAGGGGGATATCATTCAATCCAGAATTGATCACAGTGCACTGCTAAATACTCACTGAACTTGTAAATATGAATAAATACACATAATCACGAACGTTCAATGTTGGATTATCTCATAAGAAAATGTTAATGAACTTCGTTGGACTTCTTCTGCTAGTAGAATAAATACTTGATAGTTTCGATTCATGAAGTGTTTTATTTCGAGACGAAAGATACATAATGTTAGCGGGTGTTATATCCAAGAAGATATGTGACGATCGAATTGAGCTATGTAAAAATCACTGTTGTAGTCACGCAGATCGTATCAAATGTTCTCATAAAATATAATTTATAACTCGTTTTGTTTAGGTGCTTTATGAAGTTGAGTAATCGCATTTAAGGAATTTGATATTTTAAAGGATTGTGCATTTTAACACCATGGACAAGAAAAAAAAATCCCTAACCAAAGCGGCGGATAAAATCTATACAACATCCAAAATGCCTTTTATCGGTAGGTGAACTTCATCAACCTGTTACGGTAAATATTTTGTTCGGTTTCCTGCAAACTTTCGGGAGGATTAGTCTGGAAGATGAAACCTTCCACACCAGAGATTTGGAATGGACTTCATCTGCTGGATAGNTTCCACTGCAGGGTCCTCAGAAAATAATAAAATGCCAAAACTGGAAAGGGGGATATCATTCAATCCAGAATTGATCACAGTGCACTGCTAAATACTCACTGAACTTGTAAATATGAATAAATACACATAATCACGAACGTTCAATGTTGGATTATCTCATAAGAAAATGTTAATGAACTTCGTTGGACTTCTTCTGCTAGTAGAATAAATACTTGATAGTTTCGATTCATGAAGTGTTTTATTTCGAGACGAAAGATACATAATGTTAGCGGGTGTTATATCCAAGAAGATATGTGACGATCGAATTGAGCTATGTAAAAATCACTGTTGTAGTCACGCAGATCGTATCAAATGTTCTCATAAAATATAATTTATAACTCGTTTTGTTTAGGTGCTTTATGAAGTTGAGTAATCGCATTTAAGGAATTTGATATTTTAAAGGATTGTGCATTTTAACACCATGGACAAGAAAAAAAAATCCCTAACCAAAGCGGCGGATAAAATCTATACAACATCCAAAATGCCTTTTATCGGTAGGTGAACTTCATCAACCTGTTACGGTAAATATTTTGTTCGGTTTCCTGCAAACTTTCGGGAGGATTAGTCTGGAAGATGAAACCTTCCACACCAGAGATTTGGAATGGACTTCATCTGCTGGATAGRAATTTCAATCCGRCCTCAGAAGTTTATTTCAGAAATGGCTGTGGGAATTCAATATAAACGAAAAAAGATTGTATTTAAGAGTGGTACATCAGTATGAAACCTATTYCAGATGATTTTAATGACTAGTTGACATTTTAATGTTTTTGTAATCGGAAGTCTTGAGAAACATTYTCTCGGACAGCTGAYTCATGAGTATCCTTCTGATTCTTTCTAGCCACGACCTTGACTTATTTGTATAACAATGTTAGATTTTGTATTGMGTGACAACAAMSKKTGACAGATKAGCAAGTGCTTTACAAAGTGACGTCATTGCTTCAGGTTATATATATTAGCTTTAGTTGAAAAGCTTCTGTGTCTTTCAGACAACATCATGTTAGTCCTGCTTATTACTGTAGTAGTCTTCCCTCTGGTTGACTCCATTGAAGTGACCCCTACGATAAMAATCCATAGTGGACAACTTCAAGGTTACGTCGCAGACCTCAACAACACAGGTGGAGCTAGAGTCAGAAGATACCTTGGAATACCGTTTGCGAAGGCTGAGCGATTTCAGCACCCAGAGCCTCCAGAACCATGGGATGGTATTAAAATCATGATGTCATTTGGGAAAGCTTGCCCGCAGACGTTTACTCAAATAGGAGCACAAACGGTGGAAGACATGAGTGAAGATTGTTTGAACCTCAATGTGTATGTCCCTGACGATACAAGTAGCTCATCACCTTTGCCTGTTATGGTGTGGATCTACGGCGGTGGGTTTATTGTGGGTTCCAATCGTATATATGATGGTAGCTACCTCGCAGCAGTCGGTAAAGTAGTCGTTGTAGTCATTAACTATCGGGTGTCGGTCTTCGGGTTTTTAACCAATGGTAAAGACGGTGATATCAAGGGTAACTATGGTATGTTGGATCAGGTTGAGGCACTGAAATGGGTCCAGAAAAACATCGAAGCGTACGTATATTTATTTATTTATTCCTCAGTTGCTTTTGTTCTTTCAACAAGAAAAGGCTCTGTTCTAAATTAGTAGAATTTTCGGAATGTTTTCAATAGACGTTTGGGAGTGCCTGCGAATGCTTGACTTCCCTTTCGAGTGCTCATTCGAGCAAATAGCCACTTCACATGACTATGAAAATTATAAAATGTTAATTGAAAACCTTGCTTTGTGGTCATAATCAGTGGYGGAACCAGGGGGGTTCCATGGGTTCCTAGGAACCCCCCTCAAGCATAAAAAAAATAAAAAATAAAATAAATGATAAATGAAATAAAATAATAAAATACGCATGTACAATGAATTTCTATTAAATACATTCACTCTACATTTGCTACAGTTMGAGAGGCACAGTAAAAAAGTTCGTTTTAAAATGCCAAAACAAAGTGGAACCCCCCTTTGAAAAATCCTGGATCCGCCACTGATAATGCTATTGTATTTCGGCCTGTTGCTTATTTGAAAAATACTTGACAATCGCTGAGAAAGTGCATTTTTCTATCATGCTCATATCTACTTTTCCTTGTTGCTGCAACACTGACAACTAAACATATTTGTTGCTATTCGCAGGTTTAATGGTGACCCTAACAAAGTTACCATATTTGGAGAGTCTGCTGGGGGTGCCAGCGTGTCTTTACTAATGTTATCAAAGCTTACCAAGGGACTTTTCCACCGTGCTATTCCACAATCTGGAGATGCATCAGCTCATTGGGTTACGGGCACATATAAGAGTAGCATCAAATCAACGGAGTAAGTTTCTCATAATAAAGGAGCGTTCCCGATTTGCTGTTTTGTGTTTATCCCTCTTGAAGGCATGCATGTTTTTTATCCTGTCGAGTGTTTAATCGTTTACTGTCACGTTTTTGGACGAGTTTTTGCTCGATTTCCATGTTGCATGTTTATTCTTCATGAAATAATCTATAATTTTGTGTTTTTGAGGGTATTTGCCAAGAGCGTTGGATGTCCAGCGGACCTAAGCAAACTTAGAGACTGCTTGAAGCCCAAGGACGCCATGGCAATTATAAATGCTTCCCTTGTATGTCCATGGCCTAATTTCAGTCCTATTGTTGATAATCACTTTCTTCAAGGTAGGTGAACTTGAATCATGGCAGTTTTTCCTTACATCATTGTTCACATAGATTACAGGGACGTTAACCATTGTAAGTCATGTATCATCATGGCACGTTGGCCGATGATGGAACAGAACTAATTGATTG